GTTGCACTTCACTTTATTGCACTTTGCAGACACTCTGGTTTTGACAAATTGAAGGTTTGTGGCACCTCTGAGTCAAGCATGTCTATCAGCACCATTGTCTAACAGCATGGGCTCACTTCATGTCTCTAAGTCACATTTTTTTTTTTTAGGATTTGGGTGAAGATTTACAGAGTAAATTCACTTTTCATACAGCAGTTCACTCTAAGTCACATTTTGATAATTCTCACAATATTTCAAACATTTCCATACTGCTATTGCTTGCTTGAAAGACAAAAATATACTGTAAACATAACTTTTGTATACACTGGGAAACCAAAAAATTTGTGTAACACACTGTACTGTGAAATGCACTTTATTTTGGTGATTTGGAACCAAATACATAATATCTCCGAGGCATAACTGTACTTTTTCTTTATACCACTCCTAGAAAATCTTCTCAAATTACACTAAGTCAATAGCAAATCTCAATGTGAACTGGATATAAATGTTTACAAGCACAAAATTTTAGTCCATAAACACAGTGGCCATCAACTTTTTTTCTATAGTCTCAGATAGTAAATATTTTAGGTTTTCTTGGCCGAGAGACAAAATCAAGGATGTTACATGGTGTTGTTGTTACCTGCCATCTAACTCCAAAAAACCAAACTCACTGCCATCGAGTCGTTTCCGACTCAAAGTGATCCCCATTTGGGTTTCCGAGGCTGTAAATCTTTAGGGAAGTAGATTGCATGGCTGTCCTTCCACAAAGCAGCTGGAAGTAGATCACCCAGTCTTCCTTCCACAGAGCTGCCATGTAGCTGGTTCCAATTCATGGTGACTGTGTGTATAACAGAACAAAATGCTGCCCGGTTCGGTGCCATCTTCACAGCCATTGGTATTATTGCAGCTATTCCACCTCACTGCGGTTTCCTTCATTTTCATTGGCCCCCACTTTACCAAACATCACATCCTTTTCTAGCAATTGGTTTTTCCTGGTGATATGTCTGAAGTAAGGATGTTATGATGGTACTTATATGACAGCCATGTAATAATGTAAGTATTATTCTTATTTTGCAAGCCATACACAATTCATGCCACCTGGAAACTCAGAATGTGATCTTACGTGGTAATAGGTTCTTGTTGTTGTTAGGTGCGGTTGAGTTGGCACCGACTCATAGTGACCCTACGCAGAGCAGAACAAAACACTGCCCTGTCCTGTGCCAGCCTCACAATCCTTGCTATACCTAAGTCCATCGCTGCAGCCACTGTGTCAATCCCTCTTCTTAAGGGCCTTCCCCTTTTTCACTAACCCTCCACCTTACCAAGCATGATTCCTTCTCCAGGGAAGGGTCCTTTCTGACAACATGGCCAAAGTAGGTGAGACGAAGTCTGGCCATTCTCACTTCCAAAGAGCATTCTGGCTGCACTTCCTCCAGGACAGATTTGATCCTTCTGGCAGTCCGTAGTACTTTCAGGATTCTTCGCCAGCACCACAACTCAAAAGCATCAACTCTTCCTTGGTCTTCCTTATTCACTGTCCAGCTTTCACGTGCATATGCAGCTATTGAAAATACCATGGCTTGGCTTAGGGCACCTTAGTCCTCAAAGAGAGACATCATTGTTCTTCAGCACTTTAGAGAAGTCTTTTGCAGCATATTTGCCCAGTGCAATATATCATCTGATTTCTTAACTGCTGCTTCCATGGTTGTTAATTGCAGATCCAAGTAA